GTGCCGATGGAAAAGGAACCCTCGGCCCTCCCAGGGCGCCCAGTCAAGCCCGGGCGCCTGCGGCAATCGTCCTGCGCGGAGTGTTTATCTGGAGAGTGCGGACCAGAATCCGGATCCCACCTCTCCATCGCGCCTTCTCGGTGGAAAAAGGTTAGCACTGCCTGCGGCTTAAAAAGGCCGAAGGCCTGGAGGGAGGCAGCCCCCTGGGACCGCAGGACACCGAGTGCACACGCGGGTCGCAACAGTGATGGGAAAGGCCCCGAGGTGGCTGGCAGGTGCTCTCTCCTCGGCGGCCGCTGCTCTCGGGTCTCACAGGGCGTGTCTAGAAGCCAAATGAGGTCGTTCACAGGCACAGCTATGCCTGACTTGGCCACCCCCACCAGCTGGACACTATATTCGAAAATCTGTCAGTTTGACAAAGCACAAGTGTGACATCTCATTGCTGTTTAATTTTTATTTCTTTGAACATCAGAACTTTTTCCTCCTTGCTTCTTCCTTCCCCCATTCTGTTTTTCTTAAACTTTTCCCCCCCTTCAGGGGCATTTGATTGAAGACAGTTGGCAGCCAATAGGGCTTGACCTTCTGAAAGTGCATTTGGGAAGCAGAGCCAGTGCTAGGATGAGGTACCTGAGATACTTGACAAAGGGGCAAAATTTAAAGGGCACCAATAAACTCAGTAATGACGATAAACAATGCTTGAATGCAATATTTTTAAAAATCAAAATTTATGTAAAGATTTAGCATGAACATATCCAAAGTTTAAATCATTTTCAATATTGCATTAAAATATTACTTACATTTACTGAGTTTATTGGCACCCCTGAAATTTTGCACCTAAGATGAGTTCTTCATTTGCCTCACTCTAGCCCTGACCCTGCTGGGAAGTCTTAGAAAGGCAAGGATTTCATGAACTTAGAGATCCTTGAGTAAACAGTGCTTCAGGCCTGCCCTTTCTCTGGACTAGCTCTATCTTACCACCAACACAGACAGACTGAAAAACATTGGCCAAAATTATTCCTCTCTAGTATGTTAAGCAGGAGACAAGTTTAGAATTATGGACACTCTGAATTGAACTTTTTGCATAATATCATATCCCACCTCCACGCAACACCTCCAACTATATTAAATGGGGTCTGTTGCCATCTCCCTGAGTGGGCATTCTTAAAAGGATTCGTT